AGTCTCCCTCTGTGGAAATAATTTTTACCCCCTTTACCTTTGTGTCATGTAATATGTAAATCCTAGCAAAGCACCCAATGAAAAAATGGCGCGGGGGATTGGTAGAGTAATAGTTTGAAACATGGAGAGAGAGAGACAGACAGAGAGAGAGAGAGAGAGAGAGAGAGCATTATAAATCCAGATGAAGGTGGATAGAACCTGTGGCTCATAATTGGTTCTTTTATGATTCTCAATGTGAAATGCATCTGACCATGTCAAATGCGTGTATGTGCATGTGTAATTCTGTTTGTGTGTGTGTGTGTGTGTGTGTGTGTTTGAGAGAGTGTGTGAATGCAGCATCCTGTTTTGATCAAAGGGCTGGTTTAGTCAGTGGACATATATGAGGGAACAGCTCTGCCTTTGTAATTATACCAACATGTAAATGAAACACCGTGGCACTTTCAGTCCATCTAATTTCTCCACTTTTCTTTTATCTTTTAATTAAAACTACCTTTCTTCCTCCCCTTCATTCCTCCCTTTCTTTTCTATTCTATTCTATTTTTTGTGCTTGCCCAAAAAAACACTGCTGTCAAAATTGTGTATTGAAATGTTTCCTTTTTTGTCAAACATGGATCAGACGCAAAGTGTTCAGTTCCATGCTTCCTTGAAACTCTATTTAGCATAGCATTAGCACATGCTAGGCAGCAACCAGACAGAGGGCTATGAAGTCTGGATTCACATAATCTTCTGAGTGACATCTTAAGAAGGCTTTGCTTTCAGTCTCTCTCCTCTCCTCTCCTCTCCTCTCCTCTCCTCTCCTCTCCTCTCCTCCCCTCTCCTTGTCTTGGTGTGTGTGGTTTTTTTTTTTCAATTATTATTCTGGTCGTCTCCAGAGGGCTGTCACCAGGAGTTCAGCACCAGCTGGGTTTCTGGTGTCATTGTTGCCTGCATGAGGAGGGTTATCTCTTGCCTTTGAGGGAGGGATCTTGATGTAATAGGGTCAGCAATGTTTCATCATTGGGATTTCATGGCCTTTTCCAAAGAAGTCCATTTTAATTAAGAGATTTTCCTCTCATCTATCCCAAACTCAATTTGTCTGGTTTTATTCAAATGAGGAAAGTATTTAAAAAGAGTTTAGGGGAAAAACAATGAAAGCACCTCTGCTGGTATCTTTGAGGTCACACATGTTCTACAAAGGTCTTTTGCACAGTAGATTTCTTTGTCTTACTGTTTCTTCTCATTCTTAATGTCCTTGCATCCTATGTCCATTTTCGCATTGCCTCTCCTCCTGTCCATCCCTCCCTGCACCCTTTTCTCCATCCAACATCTTGAGAGCTGCCCAGCAGAGGAGAATGTGGTATTGATCTAGATATTTATAGAGGGGAACAACCAGGGTTTCTGTGTGACAGCTCTCACAGAACTGTGGGGTCTCGAAGCAAGAGGAATGAGTGATTATCTTCACAAATTGCAGGAGTGGTCACTGTAGTGACTCGGTAGGCTTCAAGCAGGAACTTTCAAATTGTCTTTTTGATATGGTCAGTCAGTGTTAACCGAGGTTACTTACACATTGGAACTCCTGTGGCTGCTTCCCAATAACTGTCACGTTTAATCAATGAATGCTTTAAATTTGAGAAAGCAGCAGTAGGAAATGTTTCGTTTGCAGCTCAGATATGATGTTACCTGAAATAACAGTAACTGTAGAAGTTAATATCAGTGAGACAAAATGACAAACAGCAACATCATTTGCTGTGAAGCCCTCCAAGGCAATTTGAGTCCAGTGTGCGAATGGCTAACTCCACCACTAACAATGAAGACTATGGAGACATAGAGAATGTAAATACTTTAAATGGCTTTAGTGAAAAATGTTTACCATAAATACTATAAAAATAGAGTTTGGTTTCATTAAAATTATAAGGATAATGATTTTAAATTAATTTACTTTTGGATTCTGGATCAATTTTTGATGAATCTAGCAACTATGGAAAAGTGTTTTGTTCACAACAGCAACAACATAATTTGACTTAACTTCTGATTCGCATGATAACATAAACCAATAACATTGTTACATTACATTACACTGAATATATGCTACAAAAAACTCTCTTCATATCCTGTCCTCCGGCTGCAGCCTGCAACTCACCGCAGTAGGTTCAAATGGCTTGCTGTGTGTTGTCCGTGAGGTAGATACGTTGATATCGTGCTTTAGGCTTTCTAGCTTCCTTTCTGGATAATCAGTAAATAAGGTCCTTCATATTTTGGTTAAGTATACAGCACAGTCTAGCCAAACACATGTCTAAATTTAGATAAATTATAACACATCGTGTTCTCATACAGGATGAACCAGCACAGCTGCAACACCTACCTATCTATATTTACCATTAGTCAGGAGAAGAGACGAGGACAAGCTTGTCACTGTGATTTATCTCCATTTAGATATTACATTTTATTTTAGCTTAGATGAGATTCTATTCTAGGATGTCTACCACCTGCCCATAATGCTACCTAAATAAGCAGACAGTATGACGCTTGGGCTTTTAAAGTGATAAGCTTTGTTTGCTCCTGCTTGATGAACTGCAGCAACGGTCAATTAATTCAACATTTCAGGTCAATCCCAGTGGTTTCTAGTTACAACAAACACTATTTGGATTGTACTGATGCAGGCTATGTTGGACTGAAGCTCTCCTCAGGGCTCACAACCCCCACCATGCATTCAGCCGTAACCTTGACGCATAACAGACCTATATTAAAAAAAAAAAAAAAATAGGGAGAGAAATATTGTTGTTGCGCAGCACATGTAACATAGATAAATGGAACCATGGCAATGATGCATGATGATACTAACGTGGCTCTGCTGGCAGTGTGATAGCATGTTGTGCCAAAGCTGGGAGCAGTTGAGAAGAGAAGAAAAATGTTTGTCAGTTGCTACAGAAAGCGTTTCAGTGGTGTTTGAAATTTGTTAGAAAGGTTCATATTGGGCAGGTAATATAGTGGTTGAAATAGTGGTTTAACACGTACAGTTGCAGAAGCTTGGGGAACAGTGGTGGTGAATGGTGAGTGACTGGGAGAAAGTCTATCAAGACGTCAGTGAGCCCAAGTGTAGAGGGCAGGTGATGGGTTTGGAAACAGGAGCTAATGACAACGGTCTCATGGGTAACTGAACAAAATTGAAATAATGGTGGGGTGAGATTGAAAGATGTCATGTCACTCAGCTCAGGGTGAAAGGTCAGTGTGAAGCATCTGTGTTTAGTGATGAAGTGATGAGCTTTTTTCTCCCTATGCCATATTCCCTGTGAGAGCAGAAACAGAAAAATGAATCTAAAAGAATAAAAAAATAACTATTTATGATATTCCCATATCATTCAGAATGGACACGGCTGCTCTGGGTTCCTCAATCACACAGAGAATCTCCCTAAAAGTTATCTCATGTCAAAGACTTGTTCAAAGTAGACTCTGATGATCTAAGCAGAGAAACTATGATCTTAAAAGACTTCTTTATAGACGATTCATCAAATATCATAAAACCTTCATTCTGCAAACTCAAAGGACTTACTGATGTGACGCTGCATCAAATTCAGAGGAGGTTGAAGTTGATTTTTCTTTCATTTTCTCATTAATATCATTTGTAGCATGACTTGAGTTGATTAGAATTGGCTTGGAGGACTGTGGATGACTTATACACATCGATTTGTGCTGAATTTTCTGCATTTTTGTTGCATATTATCTTTCTTTTCTTTTCTAACACAGCTTCTTTCAGTCTCTTCTTCTCAAATCCCTCATTCAGACTCACTCGTCCAGTCACTGATCGCTCTGTCTGTCCCTCCCTTCTTTGTCTCTGCCCCCTCAGACTGCTTCTCATCCAAGGCAGAGGACCGGCTGTTCAGGAAACTGTTCAGAAGATATAACCAGTTCATCAGACCAGTGGAAAATGTCTCTGACCCCGTCACTGTGGAGTTTGAGGTTTCCATCTCACAGCTGGTTAAAGTTGTAAGCTACACCACCCACACACACACACACACACACACACACAGGAAGTGAATTGAAGACTCAATTCAACATAATGTAAAAGGTGTTTAAAGCACCTTTGCACATTCAGTTCTGTATGTCATGATTTATAAGTGCATATGAACAAAGGTGAATGTGTCCAAAATGTTTCATCAGTGACATCCTCTCCACAGTATGTGAGAGTCTGTGTGAACTGTGAGACATCTTCCCATGAGAATCTTGATCATATTTCCTACCTTCTGAAACAGAGAAGCTAAAAAGATAAGCTGCGGAACGAGACAAGTGAAAGCGGAAAGTGAATACAGTCTTTATTTAGTCTTTTCAGTTTCACGGATTCCGAAAATGTCTCATGGTCTTGTTATGCACTGCTGTTTTGCTTTGGCGATGTTAAGTTTAACGCAGATGGGGGGTTGATGGTGGGGGGGTGGAGGGAGGATGCTGCACATCCCCCAGTGAAAAGAGGTTTTCAGCTCAGAATGGAAATCCTCAGATTAAGAGAAAATTGCCTGCAGGAGCCCTTTTCAGACTGGACTGATGTGTAGCTATATCTGCTTGCTCGGCAAGGTGAGATTAATCTAAAGGTGAGTGTGTGGATGTGCGTGCAGCGGCGTGGGTGCACTCAGTGAATGTGTCACTATGTGTGCGTCTCTGCACACATTTGCTGCTTGTATATAGGGTACAGCATGTGGCTGATGCATGTGTGTATGTGGAATCCTGAGAATCACATGACGGCGAATCAAAACTGAATACGGGTCACAGAGAAATAGAAGAAGTGACATGTGTGACCTCTCCATCTATTATTAACTTACTCATCGTCAACCTTTTCAATCAGCTTCACCTTTAGAGGACAAAGATTAGGGGATGAATTCCATTTCTTTAAAAAGAAATGTGTATTTTTATTCCTGTCTGGATTTTTTTTGTCTTCTTTTAACATAACACAACACAACTGACCCGACAACACACTCTCTTATACACACATAAACACAGAGCTCCCCTCCTTTTCTGTGTCTCTGCAGGATGAGGTGAATCAGATCATGGAAACAAACTTATGGCTCAGGCATGTAAGTATACATGCACACACACACACACAC